TAAAGGGGTTAGTTTAACATCCTTGGAATTTTTTGTTATAAATTGTTAATTAAAGATGATTATGATATGTAGGCAGAGTCTAGATCGATTGTTGAGTACGAGACCTACTTGCTTACTTACATGGTGAGTCTTCTCACTATACTTACCTGAGTGATAATATTGTGTGACTGGAGGGTCTTATTTGAGTTATTGACCGGAGGGTCTTATGTTATTATATTGAGTTATCTGATATCATGCATTTTTTCTTTGTGATTTATGTTGTATATTATTTTGTGCCTTACTGAGTTAGGATCGGAGGGCCCAAACCGAGTTGTAAGACCGGAGGGTCCTCACTGAGATACCGGACTGGAGGGTCCAACCCGAATTTTTAGATCGAAGGTTCTTCACTGAGACACATGATCGGAGGGTCCTTAACAAGATATAGCCATGGGAGGCTAGTTCTTATGTGTGTGGTATTTTGGGGAACTCACTAAGCTTCGTGCTTACAGTGTTGTGTGAAATGTGTTTCAGGTACATCCCAGGATCGTGGAAAGGCGGACATGATTGTACACACCAACTAGATATTATATTTTGAGGATTCTGGGATATTGTCAAACATTTTATTGTCTTGTGTTTTTAACAACTTACAAACTTGGGTTTGAGAAATGTGAGATTGTGTTGTGTGTGGTTTTAGAAATGAAAATTTTATTTGAAAATTTTGAGTGTTATAGTTTTCATACCCCGTATAGATCTATACATATCTTTTTATATCTCGCAAGATTAATGATTATAAGTATCTGGGGAATTCCAAATTTAATCAAGGTCTTTGGATGAACTAGCAACTCACTAACGCATTGATCTTAGGTATTATCTTTTATCTTTTATCTTTTATCTTAATTCTTCCTAGGGATTTCCTATAACTGTCATAATATAAATATTTTATCTTATATTTAATAATTATAAGCTGTGATCTCATAATTATTTTGAATATATAATTATTAATATATATACACCCTAATTATGGTTATTTGGCAACATGATATTTAGGCAGAGTAACAATTATGTATGGTGCATATCCTTAAATTTGACCAACATGACTTCTAGGTATTATGTTATCCTAGGGATTTGACCATTCTAGCATTTGGGTATTATCTCTTCCTAGATTATCGGGCATCATATGTCTTAGGTATAATATCATAGCTTGTAATAGGCAGAGTATCTATAGCTACATTATCCTAAGACTTTAAGCTTTAGAGTATAATTTGATATTTATAACTATAAATATATTTTGATAAAATCATTTCATAGGCACGTATTCCCCACGTAAGACATTTAAAACAATATAATAAGGTTTGTGTACTCACTCTAGTAGCGTATTCTACAGCTTCTAAGTCGTTGCATATGAAGCTTCATGTCATCGAGAGGGTATCCGAAATAGCTTGATAGGTATAGACAGAGTGTTTGGGATGAGAAAATTAGAAAGTGAGTCCTCTATTTATAAGGGTTTTATGTGTGGCACTCTTCATGCACGACGTGCACTGGCTTCATGGCTCGATCTAGAGTTTGCCAAGTGTCACACTTCTGATGGTCCACGTCTCCGTAATCTTCAAAAAATTTGGGTGTCAGGTGTGCGCACTGGGCATGTCACGCACCTGGCGTGCACCCCTAAATATTTTATAAAAATTCATATTTTTCTTATATGTATCTTGTTTCTTACATTCTTTACATATTTATGTAGCTCTCTTCTAGTACTATAACTTTCCTTGAGGTCGTGTTGCCAAATTTTGACTTTCGTTTTTAACCCATATATTATATTTTTCTAAAAATCTTATTTCCTTCGTACTAAATCTGTTTTTAATATTTCTCCTTTCAAAGTCCTTATCTTACGGGCTACTATGATTTTACTTTTAGTGACACTAGCGAAAACACAATCGATCTCTTTATGTTATTTTGACGGTAATAACGTTATTAACGCGGTTGGTTCTTATCTTTTATAAAATCATAACTTCTCCAATCAAAGTCAATTTTATTTTGGCACACTTACATCCTCGGGATCCCTTTTTTGTGTACTTTCAAAATAGACTAACCACCATAAAAATTGATATAACTTTTTTGGTCACTCATTTTTTTATCATTTTATTATCATTTAACAAATCAGATTTTCCTTTAATATGAAAAGTTTTATAACTATCATTGGTTGATGCTAATCTTTAGTAACAATTAGTGATAGGAAATTTGAAATTCTTACATTCTCCCCCTGTTTTAAGAATTTTGTCCTCAAAATTCGGACCTTATGGTAATCTTGTTAGGGATACCGGTTTCTTAATTAGGAAATCATTTATTTTTCCTACTTATTGGGATAACTAAATTTCCTTTTTAGTTTTCTACTTCTAACACTTCAAATTTATCATTAGATTCTAATCTTTGACTTTTGAAATCTTATTTAATCTTATCTTTATTTTACACCATTAGGAAACCTAAATCTTTTATCTTAATATTAGTGTGGATTTCTAGAAGGATTTCCATTTTTATTTGCTTATCACAACATGTAGTCAAAATAAACCTTTATATATATATATATATATATATATATATATATATATATATATATATATATATATATATATATATATATATATAATACTGAGTAAAACTTCTAAGGTTTATAATCTCCTTTCTTAACTATTATATAGTTATTCCCATGTAGTTTTTTTGTAATTTTCTTTATTCTAACATGCAATATTTCCTTCTAATGGCATGATTGACTTTTGTAAATGTTGGCGATGTACTCTGGCCTTCCATAGTTGTTACACCTAAACTTCTCACATTTTCCTAGATGATAAAGTCTACAGTTACCGCACAAGGGGAATCTTCCCAAGTGACCCCTTGGAGAAATGGGTGAGCTCTCATGAGGCTTCCTTTCTTCTTTTTCCTTCCACAAGGGTCGACTAAACTTGCCCTCACTGATTCCGCCCCCACTTTTTCTTTAGCTCTTTGGAATCCTTCTTATTCCATCTTGGGTTCTGGGGCACATGATCCTTGTGAATGAAGGCTAAATATTTAGCTTCCTCATAGTTATTGGGATGGTGTGACTGAACTTTGAATCTGATATGGGGAGCTAACCCTTGGAGATATGCATTGATCTTCTAGATCTTTGAGTTGACTAGGTACTCAAAACGTATTGCATAGAAGGCATACCGTATAGAAAGACAACACATAATCTTTGGTGCTAAGATGATTGTCTTCTTGTTTAGTTTGTGCCACATCTCTGCTAGAACGAAATTCTCTAATCATTTGCTTCTTCAACTCTTCCCAGGGGATTGCATAGGCTTCGTCTACTCCTAAAGTCTTGACATAGATACTCCACTAGAGGAGAGCTCCTTTCATGAACGTGCATGTTGCAAACTTGACACTATGTTCACTAGCACACATGCTCTTTATCTCACTTGCCAATAGATCACACTATCAACTCTTCTATCTCCATAGAATGATCTCATCTTACTATTAAGAAAATCCTAATAGGTTCTATCTAGTTGGTTATCTTCCTTATTGCTTCCCCCTTCCCTTGTTAGCTCTAAGATTCTCTAATACATCAGAGACTTGACACTGAATCATGGTCTGAAGGGTGATCAGGTCAATCAAGGTTAACATACCAGGGTTGTTTTCCTGAAACAACGACAAGAAGTTTATTTGGTGTTCCTAAGGGGTTAACACTACTTTTCTATTTGTAGGGTACTATATTTGCTCTCATAGCAACCTGTCTTCTTAGCTTTTTGATAGTTGAAGATTTTATTGGTATCTTTTGTTATTTCTTTTCTTATTATGATGGTGTTGGTCTCTTAACGACCTATAATCTACTGATAATTGCAATGTCACTGTTGCTTTTCTAGCAACCTATCTAATTTACAGATTATAACATGTTTTTGTTGATTCCCTAGCAACCTATAAAATTTACTAATCATAGCATGCAACTGTTTCTTTCCTAGTAACCTATATAATTTACTAATTATAGCCTGCCACTATTTCTTTCCTAGCAACCTATATAATTTACTAGTTATGGAATAGTATGGTTGCTTCCTAGCAACAATAGAATTTGTGAATGAATCTTCCTACCACTTCAAGGAAATCCTTATTCCTTGCCCTTAATCTTTTAATTATACTCAAAAAGGGTTCCAGTATCTTAACTGTTTTTGGAAATGAAAAGGGGTAATTTTAAAAAAAATTATTATGCGTTTCGAGCACATAATACGCTTGTCGCGCACCTATAGATGTGCATTAAAGTCAAAATTTTTGCTTCATTTGAACATTTCGCCAAACATTCCTTCTTTCTCTTTCTAGTTTTTCTTCAAGTGGGTCCCACGCGTGATTCACGCTTGGCGCGCCTGCCTCCATTCTTTGATTTCTTCATTTTCTTCGATTACTCTACTCTCAGGTAACTTCTATAATGACTCTTAACTTAAAATTTGGCCTAAATTTCGAGTTTTTAAGGGTTTTAGCAGATTTTTATGAAACAACGAATATGTGTTAGATTTTGTGAAATAGGTGCTCCCTCAATCATCTTATAATATCGATTTTACTACTTATATACTTTATTTTGGGTTTAATTCATCTATTGATTCTAATTTTTAGTTTTTAGATTTTCAAAAAATTTCTAACTAAATATGAAATTTCGTGTTGTTTTGGATGAAATTCGATACCTACATGTGTTCTAGAGAACTAGCCAGACACCCGTATATTGTTTTTAGGTTGAAAATTAGACGGAACAATAGGTTGTCATGCCTGATATTCTTCGTGTTCTTAAGGCGCGCAACAGAGATGCATGTATTTAGTGTTCACTCCCACATAGCGTGCATCTCGCGTGTTTGATCCATTTCAACTCCAAATACAATTTTTATCTCTTCTAGCTTTTTTTTCACTGCTTTTTGGCTTATTTTCATATATGTATGGCTAGATGAGGTCGACAAGTTGCAGGTCATTTTCCTCTGAATTGGCTTATTTTCATCTCTCGCATTACTTCTCTTATGTCCAAGAAGATTAGTAATCTTGAAGCTCTTTCCTGGAGAGTGGCGGACGATAGTGGGCTGACAGCTCGACTGGCTCCATTTCTTACTCGTGTCTTGCGGGATGATAATGGTCTTGAGCTTTTCATCTATCACTGTTGGCAAAGGGTTATTGGGTGTTGGGAGGTGATCTACAAGGAGCTTTGTTGGGAGTTATTTTTGACGGTGTACTTCAACAAGGAGTCAACACGATGAGCTAATCAAGATAGGGAGGTGTCTACGGATTTACATGGATCAGGAGACTCTAAGCCCTCATTTTTATGCTTATCTTGAAATATTTTTACTGCCCACCAGATGAGTACAACTACATGAAGTTTTGGGTGCATGCTCAGGGGGCTTATGTCTCTAGGACAACCGAGGAGAGCGTCGTCTGTTCTCCTATCTATCGGTTGATTCACTGTTTGGTATCTTCCATCATTTTTCAAAGACAAGAGTGTGACAAGGTTCCCTCGGGAAACCTTTTCTACATGTGGTGCCTCATTAAGACAGAGGTTTGCCTTCATCTTCTTTTTGCTTTTTCTTTCTACTTATCTAGCATAACTCTAAGGTCCACACCTTCGAGCAGGATCTGCATTGGGCATTGGGTTTCTAGGTTGACCTTATCCTATGAGGTTGAAACTAGTGGGATGATCCCCATGCCTATCTGGGAGCTGAATACTATCGCTCTCAGGTAGATGCGGGTATTGGTTCGGGAGGTAGGGTAGCCGTGGAGGATTCCAGAGGACAACATCGTGGAGCCGATTCAGATAGTTGAGGTAGAGGATACCCTTACGTCTGCCTTCATGAGACTTTAGAGGCATATGTATGTTGAGTCTGGTCCGTTGTAGCCGACTCGATGTTACATGATGCAATATACGACTACTGCACATGAGGAGTATTGTTGTATTATAGCTTCAGTCTCTGCAGTGGTGCGATATTAAGGGATAGACCATCCACATTTTCCTAGGGTAGGTCCTTTTGTTCCACCCCTTCTCCTCCACAGAGCATCAGTCATGATGGTGCTGGTCTTTCATGCACTTACCCCAGAGATACCGATGATGATGGTGATGAGGATAGTGGACGAGGAGGCTGAGTACAAGAGCATCAATGAGTAGGTTGAGGTTTTTGTGTTTGATGCTTTGTATTTTTGATACATTTTATGATGTATTCTGATACACTTTATGTACATTGTTTGTATTTGCATGTATCATTTCTATTTTATCATATATCTATCCCCGATTCAGTTGATGTATTGGTTCAATCAAGTATAAACATAGTTGATCAGGCTATGTTTAGGAGTGACTCAACTTCTACATAATGAATTCTCCTAAATATTTGTCTTATGTATTCGTATATGTTATTCGAGATTGGTGATTATTATTGTTTTGTATTTCAGGATTATGTATGGTTCGGTCAGGTAGGAAAAGTCGGTGGGCAGACCATTTTGGCATATAGCTGTTCTGAAATCCAGCAATCCAAGTCGACAGTTCCAGCCTAGGCACCTCTCCAATATGTGATCTATTAGTAGAGTAATTAATGATACTACTTTTATATATAGGTTTGAGGAAAAACCTAATTCAAGTATATGTCTTAAGCTATAGTCGTAATTCCTAAAGAAATATAATTCACTATAGCAACTAGCTCTGATACCAATTTGTCACACCCTCCCTGTCCAATGGCGAAAATGTCGAGTGGTGACGGTGTAAATATAACAAACTGTTACTTCAAACCTATGTAATAGTGTAGGTAAATTTGTACTTGTTTTTTAAAATAATAAAGAGAAATTTTAGCATACTGTGTATATTTACATAATTGACCCTCAAAATAAAGTATTACATAATCTCCATTGGAATGAACAAAGTGATAGAGATTGTAACAGGATTTCCAAAAATATAATGTACACAAAAATCCGAGTTAGAACGAAGAAGTTATGACAATTCGAAAATCTGTAACAAAACCGACAAACACTATTCAACGTAAAAAAAGTGAGATTTTGATAAACTAAATTTTAGCCCTAACTATCTAAATGAAAGTCGTAGAATACATTAACCTGACAAAGTTTGTAAAAAGAACGCCCAAATCTGACTTTGTATGAGGAAGTTATGATTTTTCTAAGTTTCATAATAGTGGTAGACAACTAAAAACTCGAAATAAAGATCGAGCGAGATTTAGCCGAAACAACCTAAATGAGAATTGAACATCTCTTTAATATTAGCATAATGGTAAAAAGTCTGACAGAAATGAACGTCGGATGAAGAAGTTACAAAATTTTAATGGATTTTCTTATCCTGGTCTGTTTAACATAATAATATTAAAAATAAAGTCAAAATTAGCCGATGAAGTTTAAAAGAAAGTCGTTGAGTATATTTTGGCCTACACGTGCATATAAAGAACATCAAATAAGGAGCTCGTATACAAAAGTTATGATTTTCGGAAGTTTTTGGCACAAAATCCGAGATTTTGTGGATAGAACCGGGCAAATTCGCAGATCCGACGCGTGGCACACGTGCCCTCTTCTGATTAGTCCGAAATGAGGTCCATTTAGCGTGCGACATGCCTGGCATCCTACGAGACGTCTAAGACGCCTCGTAAGTCGCCTTCGCATGCGTCTTCAGCCCTCCTTCTCTCGTCCGACGCGTGGCTGCTAACTCCCCCCTCTTGGCCGACCTTCACACCCTATATAATGGCTGCGAGACTTCTTGGAATTTAGGCTATTCTACACCTTTTTTTGACCACTTTTCACCTCTCTCACTTCCATAAGCTCATATATAACCCCAAAGCTCCGAGATCGTTACTAACACCCGAAACTCACCCCGAAGCCCCGAGATTCTCGAGAAAATTAATCTTCTCCAATCGAAACTCTGCCCAATTTAAGCCGGTTTTTCGTCAAATAAGCTCCTTTCTTGAAACAAAACGTTGTCTAAATCACCACTTATCAAGTGAGTTCATACCCCCGTATTTTTATAATTTTTACTGTTTTAAGGGGGAAATACAGGTATAACACAATAACTTTGTGTTACAAATAAATGATTTCAAATCATGATAAAATGACATTAAGGCATCAAAAATACTCAAAATATAAAACTCTTTTATAAACTTATATTTTTCCCCAAAAATCATTTTTGTATGTATATATATATATAATATATATATATATATATATATATATATATATATATATATATATATATATATATATATATATATATATATATTTTGTAACGCCTGTGTTTCTGGGCTTGCCATTTTTAGCAATATGATAGTCTAGGTTAACCTTTGTAACCCGTTTTGAAATAATAGAAGTGTATTATTTGAGTATTATGTGTTTTGTGCTTAATTGCTTAATTATGTGGTTTGATTAATTAAGAACAAGGTTGAAAAAAACGCTCGACGTTAGCTAGTCGGTGGACTGGGGTCAAGGGATTAATCAGCTAGGTGAAGATTAATCAGGTACCATTAATTGATAATTTGTTGAATTTTAAAAAAATAAATATGACTAATATCATATCAAAGTTCGTAAATACCACTAATATGATAACAAAATACGTTAATATGATTAATACAACACTAATCTTGCCTCAACTCATTTCCATTGAGATAAAACTTCTTCAAAATGTTAAAATTTCATTGTTTTATAATGTTTCAATCATTATGTATACAAGGATTAATCGCTAGGCTCCCTCTAATCAGTCGAGTAGCGCCTAGGGATTAATCGGAGATTAATTGGGACCTAGTCGGGATTTTTACAACAGTGATTAAGAATAAAAATAAGCATCAAAATTTAAGTGTAAAATAAACTCGATATCTTTAGATAATGTTGTAGTAGGTGAAACAAGGTTTCCAAAGATATAAAGAATGCCGAAATCCGAGTTATAACGAGGAAGTTATGACCTGTCGAAGTTTCGCGACAGAACCGGCAACGCTGAATAACGTAAAAAGTGAAATTTACGTTAGAACGATATTAAGCCTTAGTGATCTAAACGAGAATCGAAGATCTCGTTGTTAGTATCAAAGCGATAAAAAGTTAGGCGAAAACGGACGTCAAACGAAGAAGTTATGAATTTATAACGAAACTTTCTGTCCCGGCCTATTAAAAATAAATAATAAAAATAAATTCAAAATTAGCCGACGGAGTCTAAACGAAAGTTGTAGAGCGTAGTCTCACCTTCGCGTGGATATAAAGAACGTCGAAAACGGAGTTCGTATGAAGGAGATATGAATTTTCGAAGTTTATTAAATAATTAATAATTTAATTTAATTATTAAATACCGGCCTTATCCGAAGACGAGTCACCGGACTCATCCGGAGTACACCCAGCGTACCCGAGTACGCCCCGCGTACAGCGAAGATGTCGACATTCGCACTCAAGGACTTCGGATGACGCATGCGCTTATGATTTAGGAGCAGTACGCCCCGCGTACGAGGAGGCTCCAGCCTCCTATAAATACGATGCGAGGGTTCCAGGTTTATTTGCTAATTTCCTCTCGTTTTTGTGCCGAAGCTCTGCACGTAAACCCCCGAAGCCACCCCGAAGCCCCGGTAATATTCCCGAGTCCCGAAGCAAGTCCCGAGAT